ATGATAACAATGACATTTTTATGTAAACATTTTCTCAAAATCATATTATAAGTTTTTTTGAAAAAATTATCTTTGAAGGTGTGCCTTGAATGTGGAGAGGATTACTGTTCCGGATGTTTTGCTAAAATCCACCAGAAGGGGGCGCTAAGACTCCACAGAACGACTCTCCTGCAGGTAGGACTCCAAATGCTTCCAGGGCAGTGTGTGTGTAAAACGCTTGAACATAAAGATATTTGAAACATATGTAATTATCTGGAACTCAGGATGATTTACATTAATTTATAAAATTGCATTATGTACGGTCCTAACATATGTCTTAAAATTATTTTGTGAACACGCATCTAGATTGCATTTTGGTAGTTAAAGTCTGTTTTAATAGTAGCTGCTGCAGTGCTCAGCTTGGTGGGAGTCTTCAGATTATGCATTCCATCTGTGAACTTGGCACTTAAAGAATTAGAGAATATTTTTATCTATTGTGATTTCAAATGAACACATGGATTATTTTAAATATTGTTTCTATGTAGTTATATACAGAAACCTCTCATTTTTCTTTTTGTGTTTATTTTAGACTAGTTTTTAATCTATCTTCACTCATTTTCATTCAGATCAGTTTCTCTCTCAGGTTTCTCCCTGTCTTTCTACGTATGAGGGCCTTTTATTTATCCTTACATACTCATTGGTTTTTGAAATGCCTAAAGCCACCAGGTCAGGTATTTAAACTTCTGATACTTAAACAGAAAATATGGTTAGCTAGAGACATGAGATTACACTGTGACGTTAAGTGATGTTTTGGTTTGTCCTATCCTTCATTTATGTTGCACTAATGTATTTGACAGGAGTTTGTTGAGTACCTTCTAGGAAGCAGGGTCTGCGCTAGGCAGTGAGCGTATGTAGATTCTAATACTGAGGCCTGGACATAAGAATGAGAGCTGGAAGCTTGTATAAAAGGTTAAGGGTTAAAATATTATCTCATAGGCAAAGGCAAGGAGATGATCAGACCTGAGTGTAGAAAGATACTAGTAGATTTCAAAATTTACGTGTCACCTCATATACGAGTATTGGTATCTGTGAGGGGCAGTGATGACCCAAGTTATGATAAAGACAAAACATAAAATTGACCTAACTTGTAAATACTAAAGACACGCAACGTTTAGTGCTTCTGGGCAGAAATGATGGGGCAAAAACCTGCTACTTAATTCTTTGACTATATTGTAATCAAGATTGTCATGAGAGTGAAAATTAATCTATATAAAAGTGAGTTGAATCATTCATATATAAATAATACAGAATTTATATATAAATAATATTTATATAATTATTAGTCTATACATAATAGAGTGCTCTAAAGGCTCTGTGCTTTGGAGGTAGATACAATAATATAGGGACCCCATCATGAGTCCATGTTAGGAATTTCTCACTAAATGATTTATTGAACACATTTTCCAAGTTATCACTCTGAATTTAAGCACTTCGCTAGCTGATACGGAGGATAGCAGGAAGAATGGGACACGGCTCCTTTCCTTCAGCCTTTGAGCTTGGACAGTTACCTAGGGCTGATTCTCTTCTCTCTCATTTTTCCTCCTACCCCACCCCCTTCTCCATTCTCTCTCTCTCTCTCACACACACACACACACAAATAATTTCAAAAGAGAGATGGATTTTGCTGTGACGTGGCTTAATGTTATCCAGACACAGGCATGGCCTGGGTTAAATGGTGCTCACTAAAGCAGCACGACAGAGTGTGTTTTCTAAACATTGAGCAGCCTCCTATTGCTTTAATACTATCCAAGTGCATGAATCTTATGTGTTCACATGGAAGAAAAGTGAGCCTTGCAGATTAAGGTATTATAAAATTTCAAATACACATTTGAATGGAGAAGTGAGAAAGTATTTACTGAATAGATGCTTCATGTCAGACGCTCTTTTTGTAGTTGAAAAGCGTGTTATTGTTTCTTGTGTACAACTGCATTCAAGTAAGATACTGCTTTTGTGTGGAATATTTACATGTTATGACAACCTCCAGACTTCTCCCCCATCTTTGTTAAGATATAATTGGCAAATAAAAAGTGTGTATATTCGAGGTGTAAAATTTGATGTTGTAATGCTAATGAATGTCCGACGCTCCCCAAAGTTAAGCGAGGGCACATTTGCAGCACAGCACATCACGTCTCCATCTCCCTCCCTCCTTTCTTTCTTTCTTTCTGTTCTTCCTTCCTGTCTTTTTTCTTTTTCTGTCTGTGATAAGAATACTTAAGATACTTCCAGCATCACATTTCCTGATCTGGGCTGCAAGGGAGGAAAGGGTGATAAGCCAGAAATAGTAAAAGGGTATTTAAGTCATAGTGAACCTCAAATTGTAGAATACTTGTTTATCTCTGAGAGTTACTGTGAATGGATTTCATAAAACATATCCCAGGCAAAGAACACGGCAGGGAACCGCGAATCCTTGAAATGTTTCTTCAAATGCAGGAACTCTTCCATGTCTATAAAATTACAGTTAAATAATAGTTTGTATTGTCCTCTACTCTGTGGAGAGCGAGTGTTAATGCCGGAGAGACCTGGGAAGCGCTGTCCACTCCAGAGGTGGAAGTGAGAGGTTGGCCCTTAGCACGCAGCACACATGGGCCTTCTGTATGGGGAGTAAATTTTGTATAGTTCTGTTACTCTCTTTTTATATAACATTATCTCACCTATGGGATTGCTAAGGGATGAAATATTTTGAAGGCGATAATATATATATTTTTTAATTTCAGGTTAATTTGAGATATAAACAACCAGGCCACACTATTTGAATTGGTCACGTAGAGTCCCTTTTGTAGTTGAGTCCACACCCAGGAGGTGTGCCGTGCACCTCACATTGTGCCCAGTAACGGGGAGACCTCCAGTCCCTCTCTCTCCTCCTCTTCAGCCCCTCCCTTCTTTGCCCTTTTCCCATCTTGGATTGAATTGAGTTTTTCTCGTGTCTGGGCCTGTATCAGATCATCTCCTGGCTTCACATTAGTATTGAGTACATGGGATATTTGGTTTTTCATTCTCGTGATACTTTACTGAGAAGAATGTGTTTCAGCTCTATTCAGGTTAATACAAAAGATGTAAAGTCTCCATCTTTTTTAATAGTTGAATTGTATTCCATGGTATTCATATGCCACAGCTTGTTAATCCATTCCTAGATTAATGAACTGTGACATATTGGATTCATTGGATCCAATGAATCCAATCCAATGCATTTAGGGTGCTTCTGCATCGTGGTGATTGTAAATTGAGCTGTAATAAACAATCTAGTACAAGTGTCCCTATGGTAAAATGACTTTTTCTTTTGTGTACTTGCCTCGTAATGGGATTGTGGGATCAAATGGGAGGTCTATTTTGGATTCTTTGAGGATTCTCCATACTTCTTTCCAAAGAGGCTGTATTAGGTTGCAGGCCCACCAATAATTGTGAAAGTGTTCCCTTCTTTCCACACCTGTGCCAGCATCTGCAACTTGGGGACTCTGTGATGTGGGCTGTTCTCATGGAGCTTAGGTGCTATTTCAGGGTGGTTTGATTTGCATTTCTCCAATGATTAAGGACGATGAGCATTTTTCATATGTTTGTTAGCCATTTGTCCGTCTTCCTCAGAGAAGGTTCTGTTGGTATCTCTTAAGACAGTGGTAGATAGTATTGTTTGTTCTTTATTTTGTTGATTAACTTGAGTTCTCTATAATTCTACTTATCAAGCCTTTGCCAGATTTGTAACATGCAAATATCTTTTCCCATTCTGAAGGTTGTCTATGTGCTTTACTTGTGTCCTTAGCTGTATGGAAGCTTTTCAGCTTAATTAAGTTCCATTTGTTTATTTTGGTGGTTGTTACAATTGCCACTAAAGTCGTCTTCATAAAATCTTTCCCCAGGACAATATCCATAAGAGTTTTCCCCATACTTTCTTCTAGAATTTGTATGATTTTGTGTCTTAGATTTAATTTTTTTATTCTACTGAGTTAATTTTTGAAAGTGGTGAAATGTGTGGGTGGAGTTTCCATCTTTTAGATGTAGTTATCCAGTTCTCCCAGCACCATTTGCTGATAGAGATTCTTTTTCAGGTATATACTTTTGTTTGGTCTATCAAAGGTCAGATGGCAAGTAGAGATTGCTTTCATCTCTTGGTTTTCTATTTTGTTCAGTATGTCTAAGTCTTTATTTTTGTGCCATTACCATGCTGTTTTGATGCCTGTGGACTTGTAATATAGCCTGAAATCCGGTAAAGTGATGCCTCCAGCTTTGTTTTTATTATAACAAATTGCCTTTGTTCCATACACAGTGAAGAATTACTTATTCTGGTTCGTGAAAGCATGCTGTTGATAATTTAGTGGGGATTGCATTAAATGAAAGTGATAATTTTTTAAAGGTAATTCAAGTAAATATGTGCATTCAAAAAATAATAGTTTTAAACTAAAAGTTCTGGGGCTTTTTAAATTTAGATTCTGCATATAACTGAGATCATACAATATTTTTTTTGTGTGTGTCCTGCTTATTTCACTTTTCATGCTGTCCTCCGGGTTCATCCATGTCGTCAAACTTGACAGTATCTTCTTTATAAAGGCAGAATGATGTTCTATTGTATGTCTGTATATAGGTGTTCCCACCACACAGAGAGAGAAGCTCCATGAAGCAATGTGTGTGTTAACAATCTCGACTGTACTTCCACTGTGCACGTGTTATATCACATGCATGTACATGCGTGCCAAACACCAGGTTTTATACTTTAAATATTCTCTCTCTTTTATATATATATATATAAGTTTTTTGATGGAAACTGTATCAAAATGTAATACCTATTTCCACCTCTAAATACAGCACAGTGAATATAGTTTTCCTATATATTTGTGACTCACACCTGTCATAATGACCCCTTTATTGTCACACTTAATAAGAAAGAGTCTTCAGATAGCTCACGCAGTCTGCACAGTTGTACGTTCCTTTTAGGAGGGCTGTTGTTCTGGTTAGTACGTCATGTTCCCCAGTGTCCTGGCCCTGCCGACACTTCCTGCCTTGAATCAGTTGTCCCTGTGGTATCCGCTGCTCTCCTATTTCCATCCTCTGTGTGGCCTTTCAGTGTTCTCCAGTCGCTTTCTGTTTCTCTCCTTGTCTCCCTCATTCTCTCGTCTCTTTCCCTGTCCAGTGCCCAAGGTCAGCAG